CAGAGCCACCCTGAGCAGCCACGGCTACAGCAGGGACTTTTGCAGATGGGATCACAAACTGGGCTCCTTGGCCACAGTGACGTGGGACATGTCCACCTCAGCTGGCCCTGACTCAGGTGTGACTCTGGTAAGAGGCTCTGGGGCAATTTTCTTAATGTAATATTTTTCATGCAATTTCTCTACTTGGTTTTTCATCTGGTGAAAGAGGCTTGCAGCCATGGAAGAAGGGTCTGGCCAACATCATCTCATGTGCGTGTGTTTTATGTGCAGAAATCTCTGCACTCACAGATGGCAGCATCTGCTTGTTCCCTCCAGGGCTGTACATCCCACTCCAGCTACTGGAATTGAAAAAAAACAAAACAGCCAGGTGCTTCACAGCTATATTTTCCCCCTACGTATTTGGACTCTGCAGACATGAACAGCTCTCATTAATTGCCCAACAGGGAGATGCTGCTGCCAGGGAGTAGCTGACAACACTTTGCTTTACTCATCACAACACAGTAGTCAAACTCTCAGAGGGCAGCTCAGCAGTGTGTCCTGTCAAACCTGGTTTGTCTGTGTGCCTGTGCACTGGAAAGGTTAAAATGGGAACTAAGCTGGTCACGTTCATCTCCGTGGCTCCAGCCAGCTGGACCAGGGTTGGAGCAGCATGCCTAAGAGGCTGGCAGGCAGGGAAAGGAATCTATCCTCTCAGCAGTGCTCACACCCCATTGGGGCTAGGCTGTTCAGAAACCCATGCCTTGGCTTTACACTAGGCTCCAAATGAGGTGTACAGACAGTGGGAGGAGGAAACACAGATGTACATTCTTACCAACCTCCTCCCTCAACACTTTGTCCTTCTTCCCCCCATGAGTTATCTACAAATCTTGGAAGACCAGCCTTTAGTTCAGTAAGTTAAATGTGAGGATACAGCAGACTGGTTCTGCAATTTTTCGGGTGTGAGGTACCCCCAGGTGCAGTATTTTAAAGACCACAAGCAGAGTCAACTCTTGGCAGATGGTAATAGCCCTTTGCAGTGAGCTGGGTCTAAGTTAACCACTCAAGAATGGCACGAGACCAGCACAAACCACAGATCACATGATTTTCCATGGAGGATTTCTATCAAGGAAGAGATTTTACTTCTTTATAACCCATGATTATAGTGTAAGATGAAATGAATACTCACCCACTTTGCTTATGTAGGTGCCAAAGCCCTTGCAAAATGACCTGCCTTTAGATGTCTACTGCTAGGTCTCAGGGAGCAGAGAAAGCAAGTGAGAGTGACCAAAATAAGAACAAAGGCATTACCAGAGATTAGAACAGGAGTGTTACCATCACAGGAACACTTACATTAGTTATCACAATGGTGTATGAGGCACCGAAGTCAATCAGCCCCAGCTCCAGGGGGAACTCTCCTGTTTCAGTTATGCATTTTCCACTATTATATCTAGATAAAAGAATGAAGGACAGTATTTCCTAGTTGTTCCACAGACAAAGAACACAGAGCAGAGCTATCAAACATGCCACTAAAATAGAGCAGGGAGGATGCAAAATGTAAAGATGCAGTAATGTTTATGTTGGTCAACCACCTGAGTTCTTGCCATCTTTTCCTTCCCGAAACACCTAGGCCCTGACTGGAGTTCATCTAATTACCTGAGCTATTGCTAAGATTTTATAATTGTTTCTGTTTCTTCTTAGCACTGATTTATTTTATTTTTCTTCCCCTCAGGTGTGTTTTCCCTCCAAACTTTGCTCCATTCCTTCAGGAACTGTGGGCCTGACAAGCAATCTGCAGGAAATCAGATATGTGCACCCAGAAGCCACTTTGTTTCCTTTCAATAGAGCAAATTAGCCTTCATATTTGTTCTGATTTTGGATGGGTGAGATGGCACAGAGGCTTAGCAGCATCGCCACAATGGCTGCTGCATCCTACTAAATTGCAGCAATAAATATTTTGGATGGAGCCAATGCAGAGAAAAGCCATGAAGCTTGTTTGAAACATTGGAAATGCTAGAAATAACCTACAAGAGCCAACTCTGATGCTGCCAAACCAAGGCCATATGGAGCCCATGTCTAACAAGCCCAGCCTGCAAAGCCATGTAGTGCCACTTGATGTTACCAGCCCACATACCAACACTTTGTAATGTGAAACATGACTTGAGACAAATGAACATGATTCATGACAAACATGAATCTTTCTCTGAGAGCATCCTAACACTAAGAGCTCAGGCCTAAGAGAATATCAAAGTAAAGCAGGTACCAAATGGCAGAGGGGACTTTACCATGTCCCACCTTACTCTGCCAATGAATGCACAGGAATGGCCAGACCCTTCCCTCCAGGTCCCCACATAATGTGAATAAAAGCTTCTGCACACACACGAGTGGCCTGGAGCACCTGCTCTGCACAGAGCTGATAATTCTGCTTTTTTTTTTACAAACATCTGCCCCCACAACCAAATGCCAAGGCAATAGCAATGAAGGTTTTGCTATTAGTCTGAGAAAAGCCTCATTGTATCCAAGGAAAGGGCTCAGCAAGGACCTTCAGCAGAGCAAGGGAAACTTACATATCCCTCTGCAGCAGTGAGTACTCAGAAGCACTGTAGTTTTTCTGAACAGCAATAAACCTTTTACTATCAATTGTGAGGTTGACATCTTGGCTCAAACCGTTAATGAATCTGCAAAGAAAACGTATTTCATTGAGGTGTCAGATAGGGCAGGAAAAGAACAATAGCAGACACTTTAGAAGTTTGCTTCTCTCCCAAAGAGAGAACAATTCCATAGGGTTATGAGTCTCTCCTGCAAGTTACCAAAATATTTGCCTGATTCATTGTCCAGTTTTTCAATATAGGATTTGTTTCTCTTCTGCATAGTTTCCCCTCTTACTCTCTCTCCTGTGAAAAGTGAGCCTCACTTTTTTGGGGGTTAGAACTTCCAGGCAATCCCTTCTCAGAGACCTTCAAAAATTGCAGCAAATCCAGAGGAGGCCATGAAGATGATCAGAGGTCTTGAGCACCTCTTCTGTGAAGACAGGCTGAGAGAGTTGAGGCTGTTCAGCCTGGAGAAATCTCCAGGGAGACCTTATAGAAGCCTTCCAGTACTTGAAGGGGCCTACAAAAATGCTGGAAAGGCATTTTTTACAAGAGGAGGGAGTGACAGAACAAAGGGTAATGGCTTTCAACTGTAAAAGGGTAGGTTTAGATTATACTAGATTTTAGGAATAATCTCTTCATTATGAGGATGGTGAGACACTGGCACAGGTTGCCCAGAGAAGTTGTGGATGCCTCATCCGTTAGAGTGTTCAAGGCCAGGATGGATGGGGCTTTGAGCAACAAGTCTCATGGCAGATGTCCCTATCCATCGGGGTGTGTGTGTGGGTGGGGGTAGGGGTGGAACGACATGATCTTTGAGGTCCCTTCCAACCCAGACCATTCTATGATGATTGTTCCAAGGGTTTTTGAGAGGACGCAGCCTCAGCCCACCACAGGAAACTACGAAGGTGTGAGTCCTGGTAAGCATACACACTATGCTGGCAATGAGTTTCTACCAGTGGGAGTTTTCTAGCAAAATAAGATACTTTCCTCAAAACCAAAACTTACATGGGAATGTTTAGTTTGCTTTTTTTTATACCTAGTTCTTATATGGTCTTTTAATACACAAAAGACAATTTTCCTTTTAACAACTCAAGAATTGTTAGCAAAACCAAATGCTTTTCATTTGATTTATATTTTAAAACATTTTGGGTTTCAGTTCCTAAAATGGGGGTGAAATCCCCAAAGATAATCAAGTACTTAACAGAAGTAATGTTTTAGTGGAAAAAGAGTTTTTTCCTAGTGAAACCTCTTTACAAATTGTTAAAGGGAAAGTTTGGGGATTATGTCAAAGATAATCATAAGAGAATATAAAACATTCCTGACTGCAGGTGTTAATCAAGTCTCCAAGGTGGTATTTAGTCAGTAGAAGTCTTCACAGGCACAGGGCAATGAAGAGATACTGCTATCCTGCTCTATCAGCACAGGCTTTCAGATAAGGGGTTGGACATTGTTTCTAAGGTTTGTTTTGTTCGGTTGTCATTTTGTTGTGGGGTTTGGTTTTTGTTTTGTTGGGGTTTTTGTTGCAGTCAGTTTTTTTTATTGCAGCTTGCCCAAATCCTCTAGGAAGTCCAGCTGGAATCCTCTTTTTTTTTTTTTTTTTGGCAAATTTGCTCCTTCTGCACCTCAGCAACTGGCACAAACTGGCACAGGAGTGTTCATGAACTACATGGACTAGCTCAAATTAGGAAAATAGACTAGCTGCTTGAGCAGAGTCCAATGCCCAGCTGAATTGTTTATAAGGATGTAAAGTTGCTGCTGTACCCAATTTAGTAGGCATTTGTGCATGAGGCTGAGTGAGATAAATGATCGTCATGGGTTGGCCAGGTTGCAGAGGACATGGCAATAGCTCCTATCCAAATTGCTTCTTCCTTTTCTTTCCCAAAGGGGTAGGGCACAGTGAGATGAATCTGCCACTATTCCAAGGGAGAATTGTTGCCATCTCAGCCCAGACTATCCTAGGCAGTAAGTGGAAATAATGCTCAGCTCTGCACGGCATATGTGGGAGCTGACACTCTGTCAAACCTCCACAGCTGACGCCCGAGTCTTGCATGAGAAGTGTGGACTAGATTCCAACCCAAGAACATCTGGGTTATGTTACATACAGTTTGCATTAGACAAAAGCAGTTTCCCCTCACCCAACCACCTTCAAATCCTCCAAAAAAAGCCATTCCTACCTAACAGCTGCCAAACCATTTTCGGGCTTTGCTTCCAAGTCTGTAATCTAAAGAGAGGAAATAAAAAACCACTATCAAATATATTTATTAACGCTGCTTTTCAACAATGTGTGGCAGAAAATACTAGTGCCTGTGGAGTTACACATGTGCTGCAGAGCCCATGGAAATTGACTGGGCTCTCACACAAGCCTTACATCAGGCCACAGATGGCAAGTCCTGGCACAGCAATGCCAATGGCAAAATTTCATCTCCACCAAAGGCTTAAGATGAGATCAGATCTTTTCTCCTCACCTACTCTGTAACAAAGGCTACAGAGTTTCAGCCAGTCACCCCCTACTGAGGCACGTAACATACGCCAAGAAAGTATTTGTTTTGATCTGGAGATAGCAAAAGAGCATTACCCACATTAGCTTATCTCAGTGATTAGTTGGAATTAAACTCAAGTGCCTTACTCATACAAAACCTGCAACTGCATAACTTTCAGACCTTGATTCTTGTCATATTCACAGACTTCACAGAAGTCTAAAGCCAAGAGGAACTGCTAAGTTACTATACTGATCATCATGCATCACTCATATTTTCCCTGACCCTCAATACAAAAGAGATTAAACTGTTGTGTGATGCAGGTAGAGACCAGGAGAAACCAAGATGCACTGAGCTTGTTAAGTGCTCACAGACTCTGCAGACAGGTCCCTGAAATGGCCACTTGGATGGGCACACTGGGAAGTGAAAGTGTCTCTCATGGACATCACAGCTTGAACTCAATAGTTAGCCAGATCAACATTAATTCAAAGAAAGCCTATTTGGTGTACAACATGGCAAAACCACAGTAAAGACACAGCCCTGACCTGAAGGTTGTGTGTCACACATAAACAATACAAAGCAAGGTTCTTGGCTAGTAGGAATACCGAGTTGTACCATGTCCACTTAAGCTGGCAGGGAAATTTCAATTTGTGCTGCCCACAGACAGAACTCAGGCAAGCCAAAAGAAATAAAATCTACCTGCACAAACTGGCTTTCTCTAAAAATATTCTGGCCCTTTCTCCACACTTTCTTCCTTATGCTGAATCCTGAGTTTCTGAGACGAAGGATCTGGAATTTCAGTATACCTATAAAATGTCTGTTGTACCTCAGTGTGATATCCTACCCACAAATAACATGCGCCCTAAATAATAAATATCCACAGTGAATAATAAATGTCAGAGCAATAAATAATAAACAGCAACATCTTTTTTTTTCCATGGGAGACACATGGGGATGAACACTCCAGTTTGTTGCAGACAGGCCAGCCAAATTATTACTCATTTTCATCAATGATCCCTAGAGCTCTCAAATTCATTTCCTGCCTACTCAACAGCCCACAAAGGAGAAGAAACCAATTTCAGATAGGATCCTTCCAGGAAACCACTCCCACCAGAGTGAGGGGGCCAAATCCAGCTTGTGATTACTCCAGGGCAAGCCCTGCAACATAGCAGCAATGCTGGCATTGCCTTCCTTGTGTTGCCACGCTGAAAAAGTGAGTATCATTTACCACACTGTCTTCCACATCCCCCTTATCTGCAGCTGTGAATGACAGGTCAACAGCATCACCCAACAGCATGACTGTTTCCCAGCACGTGGGAGCCTGTGCCAGGGTGGGCAATCATTTCAGCACAGGCTAGATAGCACGGGCAGCATAGATGTACTGAAGCTCAGAGATTACCTTACTCCAGCCTGTCACAGGCTTTCACTTCTTAAGGACTGTATGAAAATCAGTGTATGAGTATCTATTTCTTAAGGCAACAGCACACAGGGAAAATTAACAACATTGTGGAATAATGAGCCCCAGGCTCCAAACCATAAAGCAAAAGAACCCCAAATGTTATAACAAATTCTTCAAAATTGTTAAGAGCATTTTAAAAAACATTCCTGTGATTTCTACTATACAATATTGAATGCTTGGTGTGGCAACCCTGCAAAGTAAAAGGCTGAGAAACTGCAAAAGGCATAGATATTTTATCACAAGGACAGATTCTGACGACATTTACACACCTGCAACAATGTGCAATAACACCATTCATTTCAAGTGAGTTTCTTAGGATACAGCTACATAGAAAAGATATCAGAATCCACCCTATATATCCCACATGCCCTCTCTGATTGTTGCAGCAGTACAGAGAAGTCCAAATGCAGCCAGCCCTGCTGCAGAGCCTGAAATGAGCTTAATCATTTATTCTGTTCAGCAAAACAAATGGGCCTTCTGTGCATTTTCACTAAACACTTGCAATAACTAAACCCAGAATCATTGCTCTGATGCTTTTACTCCATGGCCAGCCCTAGAGCCTCTTTAACATCTTTGCTTTAGAGAACCATCTTAGGAGGGAAATCTCTGGCTCTCTGTTTCCCCAGCTTTCTCAAGCTCTGCTGCCTGGCAGGCATGACTCTGCTCTCCCACTGCAGCACTGAGTGGATTAAAGTGTGCCCAGAAAGTCTCAGATGCCACAACGCCTCTATTAATCAACCAGCAGAAATGTGTATGGATCCAGTGCTGCTAGCTAAGAAGTCAGGGTTAGAGCATCTGAGAGCAATCAGACAGACATTGCAACCGAGCAAATGAATTAATGAGCCTATTACCCCATTGTCTCATCACAGCCATTGAATTAGTACTGTATTTACACTTCACTCCCACACTCACTAAGCGGCTTGATAGGCTTCCTTCTGCCTCAAAAACAATTAAGCTGTATACTGATTTTTCCTTCAAGGTGTAGTTAAAATCAAGAGATAATCCTTGATGTTGCAGGGTGAAGCGAAGGCTCTGTTGCTCTCCATTCAATATTAATTTTGAGTACTCAGCCGGGTTCTGTGGAAAAAAAACAAACTTGGTTACACTTTCTTCAGATGAGAAAGGATTTGGCTTTTCCCATGAAGCACAACGCTAACCTCTCTTCAAGGGAACCTGTAATCCTGTTATCCCTTATTCCTAGTTACAGGTAAATACAAGGTGTATCCTTTCCCATGGAAATATGTCTCCAAACTTTCAATTTCTGTCTCATTAACAGAGATAATATACTCCATTTGTAAAGTTATTCCCATGAACTTCTAAGATGATGGAGGAGAACAAGTTTTTGCATCTGTGGGTTTTATTAGAAAATGCCTGAAAATAAATCTATCCTTCCTTCAATTGGATGCAAGTCAGGCCTTCCAGCCCCAAATATACACTTACCTGAAAAGCCTCCACAGGCTGCTGAAATAGGTCCTTGTCTTGGATTGTCACTTGAACAGGGTCCTTTGCCAAATTCAGGACCCGAATTAAACTTTCTTCTGGGGCAAGTCGAGGCATATCAGTTTCCTAATTAAAGTAAAAGGCTTTAAGTGCCATCTGTATGCTTTATTAGCACTTTAATATCTCTTCATTTTTAGCCATAATAGTCTTCCTCTCTGTAATGACACTTTTCCATCCCTTCCTCATCAGAAGCTGCACTCAGAGAAAACTGAACATAAATCTTACTTAGGGAGGTTTCCTCATAGTAGCTCAATGGCCAACCCATCATTCCTCCCAAAAATAACTCCTCACACTGCTAAGCATACAGGCTACACACCTACTGAGTAGGTAAAACAGTGTCACAGCTTTCATTATACAGCTCCCTAGTGCCTGGATTTAACCAACTGCCATATCAGAATGGAAAAATTTGTGCTTAGCTTTCAAAAGCAGTGACCAGAATAATTATTTCCCACTGCAGTCAGTGACTGGGAAAAGAATCAGACCTGAAACTAAGCAGTTGTGAAAATCCCAGTCCAGCTTCATGTTGTAATCGATGCTTTTGCATTACTTGACACCATGCTGTCTAACAGCTGATTGTATAGACCTCATTCCCTGTTTTCTGAGAAGGAAAAGATGATGCCTCTAGCACAGAGGTATCTCTTTCTGTCAGGAATCATTTCCTAGAAAGAGTACATCAATCAGTGTCAGCCTTGTACTACCTGCAGATCTAATTATTTTTTTACATTCTCTTTTTTTCTCACTTTATTTTCAAGTAGCTGCCAGCTATACTGCAGAGCTATTTATTTTTTCCTATCTTATCTAATAATTTGGGTATTGTAGGCAGGGCATTTTGAACCTAACTCTGTGGGGAGACACATGGCCATGGAAAACAGAGTGAGCTGATTTCCCTGTATCCATATGCTGCTCTGGACAAACAGACCTGTAAATGTTACCCAGGAAATTCCATTACTGTGGCTTTACAGCTCAACTTCCCACAGCCAAGCGAAGATGGTCCATCCTATCCTCCTCTCTGCTAGAACGTGTGATGGCCTTCAGGGTAAAACTTTCATCACAGGCAGGAGGGACCTCTCACTCACCTTGCTGCTGCCCAGAGGAGTCACCCACACCCAGAGCAAACTTCAGTGCTCGGCCAGAGCTGCTGATGGTGGCAATGTGAGCATTTATTTGCTCACATAAAGAGGTCAGAAAAAAGACCTGAACCCACAAAGTCTCATTTCAGTGGGAGATGCGTTAGTGGATTCACCTAAGGAACCAGCAGATGTTAATCCAGGGCTGTGTGCCAGCAGCTCTAACAGAACATTTTAAGTATACATGGAAGTTTTAAAAATTAATCCTATAGTAACTTTCATGAGGCAAAGGTCAGCCAAAGTCTGCACAATGCTGGCCACGGGCCAGAAACAAACAGTACAAATCTGCAGGAGCTAACACAGAATTTACAAGAGATTTGCTGCCATCCTGCCTGAGGTTGCCCAGCAGACCCTGGTGCTGGTGACTACAGCAGTGGCTGCATTCACCTGCCTCGATGGAAAAAAGATTTGGGTAGTAAAAAAACATCCCCACCCTAAAGTGGGAAAGTAAATTAAAAACCAAAACCACCACACACACATAAAAGACCCCAAACAGTAAAATATAGGCAAGATACACCAAGAAATAGGAGAGAGAACAGACTACCTTTTGGGAATTAATCACTAGTATTAACTAGATGTCTGTCAAGCACTTTGACGATGGAAATCTAGAATATAGACCAATACAGATGACCAGCACAGCAAAACTGCAAAGACTAGAAAGAAAGACACAGAGAGACAGAGAGAAAGAGAGGGGAAAGTAGACAAGGTAAGAATTATCATTATCAACTGGATTGGTATGCTCAATTGTAAAGAAAACATTACAAATTATTATCAAGGAACACAATGGTTAAAAGGATTATCTAACAGGCATCAATAAAAACACCCCAGGGAAAGAAAGTATTTCTGAGGAATTCCTTTTGCTATACTCACATTTATTTTGACTTCTATAACAGCTGCAAGTCCAAATGCCAGCCCTGCAAGGATCATACCTGTTGCCATTTTCCTAATAGGTCTATGGAGCAAATGAAAGAGGTGCCATTAAGAAAAAAAGGTAATTTAAACTATAGAATACCATTCCTCAGAGCCAAAGATGTGCCAAAACCATGTAATAAACTGTCCAACAGGTGGCACTGGGGATGACAGTCTGTTTAAATTGCCAATCATTTAACTTAAAACTATTTTATTATTCTATATGAGGCCAGCACTGAGGCCAATTAAAACTGATATGCCATGAAAAAAAGCTCTTTCCTTGCAAGTTTCATATTATCTTTTTCCCAGCTCTTCTAGTGGGAATAGCTCATGGCATTATGTTAACTCATGATGTTGGAAGGAGCACTAGAAATGATGCATCTTCAAGTGCCTTTTGGGAAAGGCAAAAGAAATGTAGCATCCTATTTAGCAGTGGGAATGAGGAGCAGAAAAATGTGTAGCTTGTGTCATCAATGTTTCTGACCATCTGGGGCATCATTCTGGGTTATTTCTTATGCCAATACATTTACATTTCTAGAGAATAAAGAGCTTGCTTCTAAACTCAAGGCAAAATTAGTGCAAATCTACCAGAGTTGCATGAGACAATCTGATACAAAGGAGAATAAAAAAGGTCCAGAATGACAGGGCCAAAGTGAGTATTGAGTTGTTGAGATCTGAAACAAATTTTGCAGTTCTTGTGCCCTCAACATAAGGACATGGAACTGTTGGACCAAGTACAGAGGAGGCCACAAAGTTGATAAGAGGACTGGAGCATCTCCCCTATGAAGACAGGCTGAAGAATTTGGGGCTGTTCAGCCTGGAAAAGAGAATACTGAGTGGAGACTTCAGAGCAACTTTTCAGTATCTAAAGGCGCTACAGGGAAGCTGGAGAAGGACATTTTGTTAGGAACTGCAATGATAGGACAAGGGGTAATGGGTTCAAACTGAAGGAGGGGAAGTTTAGGTTAGATATTAGGAAAACGTTTTTTCCTGTGAGGGTGGTGAGACACTGGCACAGTTTGCCCAGGGAGGCTGTGGATGCCCCAAGCCTGGCAGTGTTCAGTTCCAGGTTGGATGGAGCCTTGAGAAATCTGCTCTGGTGTGAGGTATCCCTGCCCATGGCAGGGGGGTTGGGACTCGATGACCTTTAAGTTCCATTCCAGCTCCTAAAATTCTATGATTCTTTGAAATCTGGTTCTAGATTCAGTGGTCTCCACTCTTTGTAACAGTCTTTAGTCCTGGCATTCAGTCCTGGTTGGTGCTTGCATTTGTGCTGCTGAGTGAACTACTCTGTGATCTGGTCATCAGGCAGGAAGTTTTCAGTCAAGTCAGGGTGCAGTCCAGGCTATGGGCTCACACTAAGGTAGCAGGGAGAAGCACAGCTTCTGATGTGTGTCCTGCAAAGGGCACCATTACAGGACTGGACAATGTCTTTGGTATGTCTTTAAATGTAGGTAATTCAGCATAACAGGAAAGGATCAGCAGGGTGAAGGCGTAGCTTCTGGAGTTCCTTCCATCCCCATTTTATGTGGTTTAGTCTGTCCAGCATTTTAGTTTGGATTAGGAAAATGCTTTTTAAGCCAATCTCCCCACTCATTACCCCTTCCCACGCTGTGGTTCACATTGAAAAGTGGCGCTGGAGCATGAAACTTGGTTCCTTTCAGCTAAAACTGCACTGGCAGAGGCTCTCCATGAATGCACATAGCATACTCCCACTGCTAGAGGGCATCAGTCCACAGGGCTGGAATACAGATGCTCTGAAGTAAAATCCCCCAAAACGCATAAAGTGGGTCTCAGAAACAACTTGTAGGTCTGCTCCTATTACACTGCACTTTTTGCTAACATACACTAGGGATAAAATGCTTGGGACATATGGAAATCCCCTTAAACACTCACAGGTTCAGATCCTACTATGGAATCTGCTTTCACAACAGCACATGTAGCCCACATAGAACCACGAATTTGGCCCCAGAGGGACCTTTCAAGGAGGAAATTATTTAGGCATAATATAGGAAACAAGGTGAAGAACATGTTGATCAAATTCATAGTGAGACTACTCATATCTGCTTTGGGGCGAAATCTGTACAGAGCAGAATCCAACATCACTGAGTTTTCCCCTCTGGAATTTCCAGGGTCTGAGGAAATGGGTGATGCTGTCTCTTGGGGCTGAAGTAGAGGCAAGTACTGGGAAGGGTGAATGGAAAGTTGTTTCTCCTCCTTAAAAGCTGTCCTGCACACTTGCTGTTAAAAAAAAAGGCCCAGACGCATCTGCATTGTCCCCATGTACTTACGTGAAATTAAATTTGCACATGTTTATCAGGGGGTAGAGCCCAAGGTCAAAAATTGGGATGAAGACAAGAATAAGAAGTGGATTTAAGAACTGCAATACAAAAGAATGGGAGTTTAGTGTCTAGAAAGCAACTTTCAGTAATTAAACTCATAAAGCACTGTCCTCTAGAAATAATTCCATTACAGAAAGGACATGGACAAACACTTAAAATCCTCCTTTAAAATATAATCACAGTTTGCACTTCAACAGCTTCTGCTATTTAGTTTTCGCGAGCATGAATACATTTTGTTCATATCCTCCCCTCCAAGAGGTAAGCAAGCATCACTGGCCCAGTTTCCCTGGAGAGAGAACTGAAGCATGATGTTTTTAAAGAGTACAAACCCCACTGTCAATAGAGACAGGCGACCTTCGGTGCTGTGGTGGGACCTTACAACAAATCAGCAGCAATGGAAACATCTTGGGACTCCAGCAAAATCCCAAAGGAACAGGCACTGTTCTGTGAGATTGGCAATTTCTCGCACTTCTACACAACTTGGTAATCCCCCAGGAACAAAATTTCTCCAGGGAGAAATCTGCCAGCCAGCAGTGGCAGGGCAAGAAAATAGGGAGTGATGGAGAACAAACAGAGAGAAATGTTGCAGTTCCGAAGGAAGATTTCAGGGAACAAAACAGCTTTGAATCTCTCCAGAGCTGTTCAGTATAAGAATTGTAATCAACTGTGACAACACAGCACCATCTTGGAGCTCTCACATTTTCATCTGTCCTGCAGAAGGGAAGGAAGCAAACATACTTAGAAGCAGTGCTTCTCTCAGCACAGGGGCCTCTTAAAATGAGATACAGGCTGTATGCTCCACATGCCAACAATTGTTCACGGTGGCATGTTTCCCCACACCTCTGCACTGTTCTGTGTGATTCAACCTCTGTGTTAGGCATCCCTGGGGGCTTCTGAATCCCAAGACTATGCTTGCAAAACAGCTAGTGAACAATAAGGCAGAGTCCACATCAGAGCAAGCAGCAGGAGCACTGCTAGTACCTACAGAAGGAGCAGTCACTTGTCCCATGATAAAAAATAAAAATGGGAGAGAAAAAGAAAATACATTCTAGGGTTATTTCCTACCCTGTAGTATGTTTTACCTGCATTTGGTCAGGCTGAAGGACATATATTCCCTGAAAGAGAAAGATATTCCAAGTGATTCATAAACACCATAATATATCAGTGCATATGGTAAATAAGCAATCAGTCCCACAGAGGCCTTAGCAGCAAAGGTGGTTTCCTCAAATGCTTTATGTTGGCTTTAGCAGCTGATATTGTGCTCCTGATACTCACCTAAGGATACAGTGTTTAGTAAGATCATTTTGCAGAAGGAAGCTACACTCAAGCCTTGATATTTGGCAGCTATGACACAGCCCATGACAAGTACCAAGACCCATCTTTCAGACTGGCTGAGCCATGAACTAGGTGAGTGGAGAGGAATAGGTGTGTTAGTGTCCAAGTTGGGATATGGGCTTAGAGCTTTCTCCCTCCCTGCTCCTACAATGGGAAAAGCTCAAATCCTACAAGTAAGTGCTCCCAAGCTTCAAGACCCTGTGAGCTTTGTTGGCATTTCTCCCAAGCCCCCCAAAAGGATAACAAAAAACCATCCTTGAGCCAGTGGGCTGCACAAACGTCTCTTTCCTCCCTCCATCTGCACCTAGCAGGCTTTGGTCAACTGTGATTTCTTGGTTTGAGCCAGAGTACTCAAGACTATAAGGGCTGCCTCAGCCTTGCATCACTATATCCAACCCCCACCATTGGGCAAGGTCAACAGGGATGGATCCCAGACCTCAAAAGGGACTGACGACTTGTCTCCAAGGAGGGATTAGTGTTTGTCTGAACTCCATGCAGTGCTTTCCATTGAAAATTAAGATGAAGAGAAGATGTGGAGAGGTGGGGGTGGTGTGAGGAGTGGGCTAGGGGAATTAAGAAGAAAAAAATATATCTCCAAGAAAGCACTGTAGGGGTTTGTCTCCTGTCTGCCAGGCTTGTCCTGAGCTGTCTGGAATGGCTGCCCCTCTCTGCCCACAGCTGCCTCCTGGGAGAGGGGAAACTTCTGGTCACAGCAAAGGAGTCAATTAAAAATATCAGGCAAATACCTCCTCCTGGTACTTTGTACTCACTATAGAAATGTGCCATTAGGAAACAAGCCTGCAAATATTTCATCTGACAGTAAAACATTCCCTGTTTGACTCCAGAGTTCCTAGCTGAGCTGTTTGTCTGCAGAACAGAAAGTCATGGAGTATTACAAAGCTGAACTCCAACAAGCCAAAGGGTGGGATCACCCCAATGTTGCAGTTAATTCTCACATTCTTGAGCTGGGACAACTCATGAGTCAAGAGCAGATGAGACTGAAACAAAAGCTAAAAAGCTACCCAAGTTGGTGTGACGAAAAGCACTGAACATGTCCTTCTCTACCTAGGAGAGTTTACTAGTGACACCTGGTGATTCTTAGCTCTTCTGCTAATGGATCACTAAGTGCATATGAGCAAAACAGCAGAAAACAAATGTCTTAGATATATCACAAAGGCTGCATGGACTTTCACTGTTTCGTCTTTCTGAGGTGGATAAATATTACCCAAGGTGCAGTCCTTTTCATGCCTCATTTGAACTAATTAGGCCTAATGAGTATCACATGTTGAGGGCCCAGTTTTTAACAGGAGTGACATAGAAGGGCTCAAATTTGGGGCTGAAAGTAAATTTTAAAGTGGAAAATGGGCACCTACAGTCCTAGATTCTGATGTGGGCATACACAAGTAAGATCTAGATGGCCTGTTAAAACATGGATGTCTGGAAACCAGCCCTGTATGATGGCATCTTTGGGCAGATAGCTGATCTGCACATATCTGCAACTGAAGCCTGCACCATTTGCCATTCATATCTCTGAAGAACTTTATGGCAACCAACTAATTAATCCTCATGACATCTCTACCCTACACACAAGAGTCCTTCTGCTTTTGAGAGGCTTCATTAATGTATCACTGAGTAAGCCAGAGCAGAAATATGTAACTACAACAGCTCTTGTTACACCTTAAAAGGACTTTGTGACTTCTCTATCTTCAGTGAGGGCAGCAGGCTGAAAATCCTACCTGTTCTAGGTCACAGAGCAACTGGTTGCCAGCAGGTCAGCACGCCTGACCTTGCAAGATGCTGAGGGCTTCCCAGCCCTCACTCCTTGCTAAGATGTGCTGTGATGAACTGAACATAACTGCCCAGAGCCTTTCACTTCTGACCACCAAAAGTGAAACTCACCCAGGTTCACCAAGCAGATGCTCTTAGTACTGTACTGCAAGACCCCGGTTAAAAAGCAAGAGCAGTGATGTTACTACTAGTCTTACCAGCCCTGGTGACATTAAGTACTTACAAAATCAGCATTCATTTTTGTGGCTTGCAAAGTCCACCTGGATCCCTAAGGAGAAAACACACAGACGTGAAACTTTCAAGATATCCTATGGGACTAGGATACACGGGGACAGAGAAGATGACAGTGATGAAGGTCTTATTTCCCATCTATTCCTTCCCTTCCCTCTGACACCTGCCAGAAGGCAGGACACACTTTCTCACCCTCCTGTGCCAGACACCTGGAAGGACTGTGAAGGGATGGCCAGCAGTGATGGTGGAAGCCCCTGGACACCTGGTAGGACCATGATGCTCTGTGTCTCCAGGATGGTTTGGTGTTACCCTGCAAGGTCAGAGGTGCAAACCCAGGCTGGCAGGCAGACCTGTACACACTGTACTGTACCTGCTGATCAAACAGGGCCCAGAACATTGGCAGTGGTATGAAGAGGAAGAGAACACGTGTCACCATTTTCACCTCTGCAATCAGCTGTTTCTAAATAGGGAACAGGGAAAAAAGGTAAGGTGGGGGCATAAAGCCAACAGGTGATTCAAGCCACAAAGCATGAGAACTCCTTGTTTTTTCTGCATGACAGTTCTCAATTGCACTTACTCATGACATTGGACATGTTTGCATTTCTACATTTCAGTGCAGCACCTAAACTGTCCATTAAGGGTCAGGAGAGTACAGATGTGGAAAGGGACAGGAAAATGAGTCCAGTGCATGTGAGAAGTGATGTGGCCAGGCCAGTCTTACTGTCTCCTCTGTCTGTCTGCCCATCTGCCCCCTTCCTCCTCCAAACCTGCCAGGTAGAGTATCACTTACCGAGTATTTTTCTGACGCCCAGTCCAGCCAGTGATCTCTCTTTGGAATCTCACGGGAGCGGTTTTTCAGCCGATTTTTAATAGCAAACTAGGGAGAAAAACAGGTGAGTAACTCACTCATGGCATACCTGCCCTTGTCACATTCCCAACTCTAGGCTGCCTTCCCCATCCCCAAATGTAAGTAGTGCCAGAAAATTGTGGAGGTTTTGCTGCATACTTCCAGAATCTCAGATTGGATGCTTTATGAGGAATTCTCTGCAGGGAAAGTTCTGTGACATTGATTGATTAAAGGTATGATGTGGAAATTAATCATTGAGTCACAGAATGTACTGAGTTGGAAGGGACCCACAAGGATCATCGAGGTCCAACTTCTGTCCTGTTTATGCTGTGTGCTCCAGTCACTGAACACACTGAACACAGCCACTCTGGCAAAGAGTGGCAGACCTCACTTAGAAATTCTGTCTTTAAGATCTCTCCTGTTTCCCCAAGGTAAATCTGGCACTAGAATTGACCTAGATAAAAAGAAAACATCTGCTGTTAGCAACAGCTTCCTGAAATAGAAACATCATTATCCACTTAATAATAAGAGAGTATTTTTTCACATACTGTATTCAGCTCACACACTGTGAAAAACAATTGATAAGGCTCTAATGCAACTTCAGCAGGTGTCTCTTGCATTTACATGAACATGCTGAATATGCATAATAAGAATGTGTGCTATTACTGTCTGCTGAACTGATAAACTTCAGTAAAATTATTCAGCTGAAAAAAAAAATGGAGTCATATATCTGATACTCCGTGAGTTTCTAAATTTTCCTTTCAGTGCAGTCTCCATCAGCATCTGCCACTAGTGGTTCTAATGACATCAACTGAACGGTTCATGGAGCTAAGGAAAAACAACTGAAATGTTGAAAGAAAGAACTAGGACCTAAAAGTGTTTCTTATTCCTTACAGCTCATCGGCAAAATATCGAGAAGCAGCATAGAGAAGAACTCCAAAATTCACCTCCCCTTTTCCTTTGCACTTTCTGTCCTGCAACCTCTGTCATGCATGAAAAAGGGAATGGCACACACTTACACCGATGCATTTGCACACGTCCAGCAAGACGTTCCCTTGTGGTGGTGTTTTTTTGTACAGTCCACTTCCAGCAATGAACACAACTGAAAAAAATATTATAATCCAAATGGGAATTCACATGGCTGAAGCTCAACCCTGCACTGGCTTCTGGGAAGGATTCCCCCACCCCTGCATTCAACAGATATGCTCTGCCCTTGGGGCTCACAGGAGTGTGCTTTCACCTAAATAAATATGCAGGAATCCTTTAATGCCTTCAGATGGAAGGAAATGCAACATCCTACAAGAGGCAGTATGACCCCTAGAAAGTCACCATCATATTCTCATGATCTGCTCTGACACAACAAGCACCTCCATATCTGATTCATGCTGGGAATGAAAACTTTGGAAATTCACTCCATCTATGTTTTTTGTAGACTAAACCTAAAATGCAATCCACATTGAATTGCTGCACTTGATGTTGGAAATCAGCCCTCAGTCTTTGCAAACGTGTGAGGATTAATCCAGATTCGAAATGGGCTCTGTGTACTTCCATCTTACACACTTTTCAATGGAAACTGCCACAAAGGTCACTGCATCACACACAGATGTTAACAGAATTTACCTCCATTTATGGCTTCCACAAAGGGATATACAATTTAAGATATTGTTTTATCTTTGTTTGTTTCCCTCAAAGCACACAGAATATCAGACCAAGACCTCAAAATCCTGTCAGAGATGGAGATATCTGATTATGTATCATTTATCCTGCTCTATGAGAGCCTCTGAGCACATTGCTATTCCAAAGACATTAAGAGGGAGAAGCACAACAAAAGCTGAGCATTTAATTCATATAAGAAACCAACCTCAACTTTTAAACTATCCCAATTGTCTGGGTCAGTCAACAGCCAATGATGAATATCAGGCACCTCTGTCCTAACACAGGAGACCTGATACCCAGCAGGGAACTCACCTTTGCTCTTTTCTGACTATGAAGACCTTAGCATCCAGGTTTGACTTGCAGAACTATGAGAGACCTCTGAAGTCAGTTTAGATGAATTGCACTGAAAGACACTTGTGTGAAGTCATCCAGAGTGGGTGGCTGCACTACCTAATTTTAAGCATCTCCCTATGGACCTATTGATGCCTGTAAAAGACGATTCATAAGGTTTGCTGAAATACCTTCTGAGGATGCCATTGAGTCCATTTGGAACAGAGGTTTCTGCATTAGGCTTGACATATGGAATTAAATAGTATCAATCTATCCCACCTTTCAGAAACTGCAGCAGCCCAGTAAATCTTGCTCTATAAGAATTTCATTCTGCCTCTAAATCTACCCTTGCTTTCCACCATCACAGGGAGAGGGAGAGGGAGGGCTGAAAGGGTAGTTTCTCCAGTACTGCATGCTGCTCACACAGTCAAATATATCACTTCCAGGAGCATTTTAGCATGTTACAAAAGAACACAGAGCTGCTTTGCTGGGCAGGCTGTGGAATCTGGCATCAGGGCACTAACTAAAACCCCATTTCGATTGGAGCCCTCACCGAAACTGCAATATTTACACGTTCATTTTCCCCTGGGCAACTACTGCTCTGCTAGAAACATTCATTACACAATGGTGCACAGAGGAGCCTGTGCTGCCTTAAACTGATAGGAAAGGGACACAGGGGAAAATTGAAGCTTCTCAGGCCCGTGACCATGCACTTTTTTGAAAATAATTGCTGTAACGTTAGCTCTGGCCTGATGACATTTCTTCAGTTTCATCATTCTTCTCCCTGATGGAAGTTTGAGTGGAGACAGCCACATTCACAGTCTCTGGGGGATGAACTTTTCAAATCACAGATGCTGTGGTGAAATCACACAATTGCTTGGTGTCTCAGTGAAGCTAACATGCTGAATGAGAAGTCACTCCTTGCTGTGTCAAAGCTTCACAAATTCAGTGTAATAAGGGGACTGCTCTCCTCAGCAGCTTGCAGCTGTGAAACTAAAGCTAATGGGGTGTCCTCTGCACTGGCTACCAAGGAATAAGAGTAAGAATGTGGAGATTGCTGAGCATTTTATAAGGGTTGAAGAAGAAATCATGACAAGTACATGAATGGGACTAAGATGCAAGCTTTAGGAAGCAGGGCGATTGTGGCTGCCTCCTGACACTTGGACAATAAGGACTTTTATTGCAATATAATAATAAGTTGTCACTGTAATTGTGGGAATTACTTCAGCCAAGTAAAGTGAGAGAGCTCAGAACAAAGTAACATCCCATTTAGCTCTTTCTGCGAATTCTGCAGCACATAGATTTTGATACAAAAGTCTGAGCCATTAAAGGCGTCCCCAAGCTGCAAAGAGTCTGTGGAAAGGTTAGAAGTGACATGTTAGGCTTCTCTGCTATAAGCTGGAGGAACTCTGAGGACTGCTCAGGTAGCAGTTCAAACACCAGGCCTGCTCATAGGCAAAGATGCAAGCCATCAGGAGAATCATTTTTGTGCCTCCCTCTGCATTAAAGCAGGGTAATTGTATTGTGAAATATCCATCAGTCCACCCCCTTAACAGTACCATGATAAAGAATTGCAGTAAAATCATGGTCTGTCCACCATCAGTGAACTACTAATTCTTCTTGCTGTTCTGAACTATGGAATTGTTGGATGACCTTGAACCCTTGCATTTCCCACCACAGTATTCACTCAGAACTAGTGACTTCGTGCATTTTCTCATCTATCGATGGACTCAAAAATGGTAACTCCTGTTACAAGCATTATTGCTTCTACTCACCAAGTGCCAACACCATCAGTGCTGCTGGGACACCAAAAGCTAGTGCATAACAATCCTCTCCAAAACATTTCACATCCCCTGAAAAAGAAGCCAGAAATAAAAGCAACTCATTACAGTCAGACTTATGTTACTGGGGCTTTTGATTTGCTTCCCTAAATCAGTCATTTCCCTGGCTTTAAATCTTGTTTGCTGGTGCTTGACACTGTGAATTGAATCTCCTTGAAACAGTTGTCCTCCCTTGATGAAGACAATTTGGAAGCAGGGTTAGTGTCTGCCAGCAAAAGCAGCTGATAATGGGATATTGATGTGAATGGTAGAAAGGAGGGGGCAGACAAATAGGTATACAGAAGTACTAGGAACTGTAATTGGGAAAAAAACACAACATTTAAAATAATCTGAAGCCATTCTGTATTTGCCTAGATCTAAATAATCAGTACTATGTTTCCACATTGTTTGTGCCAGCTGGATGAGGTGTTGAATAAAAAACCTGAATCTGCTTTCATAGTGACCTACAGAGGACAAAGTGGAAGCCAATGCCCTTACTGTGAAAGTGAGAGCAGAGGATTAGTCTTAAAACTCCAGTTCCCTTTCTTGCCACCTTCCCAATCTCACTAGGGGCACCCTGCTCCAAATGTCAGGTCTTGCAACAACTCATCAGGAAGCCAGGTGTGTTACAGCATGGGTTTGCTGAATCTGAGCCATGATTCACTGATAGCCTGTGCCTCTTGGACCAGGTCAGCTCTCACACCATGTGAATTTAGAGCTCCAGTTGCAAACAGCAAGCCAACAGTGGGGTCTGTATTTGTATGCCAGTGGCTACACATTACTGCATTCTTACATGGAGTAATAACCAAATGGCTAAAATGAGCCAACATAGTTAACAGGAGACCAATCCATGAAGCCTCCAGTTGCTCCTGTTTGTTGTAGCTGGGCAGTCATGGTCAGCTGTGCAGCTGTGTACATGCATAGCATTTATTTACTTTTTTTCAGGGAATTAGCTGAAATCCAACGAGGCTGGCAGAGACACTATGGGCAAGGTGAACTTCTGACATGCCAAATGAGTTGGACTTCTCCACCTAAAGTATATATTCCGCATTTCTGCCACATGTCTACAAACTGCATTTCTTGCTCTTCCAAGCAAAGCTTTCACACTTAGCAAAATTTTGCTTTCCCCATCCTCTTCAATTCCATGTTGCAACTAGTTTATTCCTAGGCTATGTTGGCACAGGTTTTGATGTTTGAAGGGGATTGGATTTTCATCTGCTCATTGACTACATTGAGCAAAAGCCCTCCCCAACTGAATGCTGACCTGGGGACACCAGAGAGAGAATAAGTAACAGATAGAGCATTTGTCTTTGCCCCTGTGCATGGTGTAAATATCAGACAAGCACAATTGCTCACTGCCTTGTGAAATGAATGGCCTGTTGAAATAACCCCTCTGAACAAAGAAAGCTTCCTGGAAGCCACGGGATGGAATGAAAAAAATCACTTCTAAATCTGAAAGCTACCTTGTTCCTGTCCCCATCCCCACCACCTATGGCCTACTGCTCTGCCTCTGTGCCTGTATTTAGAGTGAGCCAATGCCCTAGGCTTCTAAGCACTGAGACACAATGAAGCAAGTGCAGCAAGACTCAGGGACTAGAAAGTGTTGTGCAAGCTGGCCAGAATATAAATTAGGTTTTAAATGAGGCATAGTCCTGTGCTTTGTCTTCAAGGCTAGTTGCTTAGGGCTGCAAACTTGCAAGCAGACCCACGCAGACATGCCTGGGTGCCAGGACAGAGCCCTCCATGAGTCAGCAGTGCTCTGTGGGAGGGAGAAGGTAGGACTCCAAAACCAGCCCTGCTAAGCTAAGCTTTTCAATCCTGACACCTACACAGGACAGCAAAAATCAGTTCCCATCCACAGTTTACCTGCAGGCAAGATGTGGGAATAGTCCTTCACTGGCAATAGGGACTAGATGACCATAGAAGTCCTTCTACTTTTTATATTTTAGTTCTGCAGTTCAGGCTGGCTTTGAAATACAACCAGGAGTATAGTTTCTGTGACTTTTCTGCCTGTATTATACATCTGTTATGCTGCTACAGCAGGATTAACAAGGCATAAATGCAGTGCACTGACCACTCCACAGACAATACAATTTCTGCCATTCAGTTGTCATAAAGCCTAACTATGCACAGCAGAGTAGTTAGAGGCAGCTAGTTTACTGTTTGGTTCTAAATCAACACTGACCTCTTAATACAGGAGTTACAAACGTGGAGATCAAACTTCCAGCATTAATGGATAAATAGAAGATGGAAAAAAACTTGCTTCTCTCTGCGGTCTGAAAAAGGAGAAGACAATATCAATGTCATGGCTAACACACAGCATTGGGCTTGCAAATTGAACACTATCAATTCTCTTGTTAGGAAGGCTGGGTAAATATTGACACGAAGTGCATAAAATGTTAAGCAAACAAGCTTGCGTTCAGGTGATGGTAAATGCTCACACCAATCAGCTCGTGTTACTTGAGAAGCTCTTTGGGGCTTTTTGGCATTTCAGAGAAAAAGCCACTGCTTTGAGAGTTTTGTGAGATTGGAAGGAGGGGAGAGAATTTACTTATTCAGAACAAGTAGCACAATTCAGATCCTTTGTCACCTAATTCAATCCAATTTGGCATGGTTTGACAAGCTCATAATTTCTTCCCATGTCTGAGCTCCTTTTTTTTTTTTCTTTCCTTTCCTCCTCTCCTGTGTAGAAATAGAAGAAGAAACCTGTATATTTTAAGGAGCTGGTAATCGCAGCAGATAGACTGCCAGCAAATGAGAAGTATCCATCAGACAGAAGATCACCAAGCTGAGGCCAGTCGACCTCTAACCAATAGCGTAAATTAAATCTAGGAGAGTAAATTCAAGAGCCTGAAGGGATGAACTCTAAGAGAAAGAGTTCGGAATTTAACTTATGTTGTAACATACTGCAGTTCATACAGTCACAAGATTCCTGTTGATCTTCTTTCTTCATGCATAATTCATAATTTGGAAGGAATGAAGAACTTGATACAGAGTTTGGTCCTTTCTGCAGAAGTATTGTCTTGAGGGCATTCAACTGAGAGCAGTTTCTTCTTGCTTGTGGCAGAGACATACCTGCACAGTCACATGCATATACAGTGCTTAAACCTCCTCCCTGTGCCTGGGTGGGCCAGCAGAGTAGAGAAAGAAAGGCAGGCTACCTGAACCACCCTATGCTCATCTGTATCACCAGCTCTGGGTCACTTGAGTTGGTAAAGGTAGTGGGAAAAATTGCTTTGGACATGTCATGGTGCCTGGCAAAGAGCTCATTTAGAGCACCTCAGCCACATCTCTATGACCTGAGCATCATTTGAATATGAAGCTTTAACTTATCTGAGTGTGTGGAAACTACTCAGGGACCTTTTCTTCTCTCCTTCTACTATGTCCTGCTTTCTTCTGCTCCCTGAGATAATATTCAGAAGGCTAGAAAACTGGAGAAAATGTGAAGAATTTCAGGCAGCTAAAAAAGGACAGCTCTTAAGTAATGAATTCTGGGATCCAAAAATGTAACAAAACTTCCTGTAATTAATGGTGCAGCCAACAGGAAATATTGCTGCTTCATATGGCAAGTAGATTCTTATCACAGAGGATTACTGCGGGGAATATGGGGAGGTAGGGCAGCACGGGAGGGCTTTTCTTTATGTCCCCTTGTAAAGTGGGTAGTGGGAAGGTGAGGGTGAGAGCCCCATCACCTCCCACTGCCACCCACCAAGGAGTCTGCTTACCTGGATAAAGGGCGTTCTGCCTTGCCCTGGCACAGTTATGGAAACTCCATCACCTTGAACTTTTGGCTCTGGAGTGTTCCAGGCTATCTAACCCATACATTACTCATAAATTATTTATCATGGATTAAAAGGATTTGAAAGCCTTACAAAAATCATCTCTATGGCATGTTCTCATGGTTAATAGAAAGCAGCACTGGGTCTTACTATCTGTTATACTCCATTTCTGTCCTTACTGGTGTTTTTGATTACCCAAAACTTTCTACTGACAAACTAGTAAAACTGTTTTCTTTTTCATTCCACCTTTGTGATTAGATTATTTTTCATCATAAGGAAATCTAGAGATATGAGCAGCCTCAACAATCTTTCCTGCTCCCAGAGTAGCCCATGGCTTGTCGACAGTGGTGCAGTACAGTCCTCACAGTCCTGCCCTCTTCTAGTTAAATTCTCATGTCATGTCTCTAACCCTCATACCTTAGCAACTCAGAATTTCTGAGAGCTGTGACAAACTCAAGCATGCAGTTCTTGACATGAGAAAGTCTAGAGCAACAATTGCCAAAAAGAATGTGGTGGTTAAAAGAAGAGAATAGTGACGCATAAAGAATTTGAAGCATCTTATTTCAAACATTTTCAGATTTCAGTTGTGGAAAAAAATTGTCAGAGAAAAGCAGAAATAACTACAAAAATAATGACCCAGCAGCTTGCAATTTACACTGATTGGAAAAAAGCTTGCCCTCCTTATTGTCTTAATCTTTAGTGCAGACGTACATTAACAACATGATTTGGATTAGCTTATTTGAGAAAAGGTACCATACATGATAATCCTGATCTCCTTGGCAACCAGAAAATAAAGAAACAAAGAGAAAGCTATTTAATACCTTAAACACCATACTGCACTGTTTGAAAGCAGCTTTGGTCCCTAATTAATATGCAGAGCAGCTTCACATTCATATAACATATCATAAATATCATTTTGTTCAGACATTTTTAACTTGGACTCCTAATCCCATAGACAAAGATGTCTGGAAAACTCCTACAGGTAAATCTACTTTCCCTATCTGACCTCCTGCCAAATCAGTCTCCATCACTGTTTGCAGCAGTACTGTTCTGAAAGTGGCAGATCCAAGACTATTACACTCATAAAGTACTTAAAAGAGGCTCAGTCTGATGTTGTGCATTTACCTCAAAACATAAACTTGTCTCTGAGAATAGCAGGGGCAATTTATTTATTTATACACAGAACTACCTCATCCCTAGTTTCCAGATGGAACAACTAAGCCTGTGCTTTTAAAGGCTCAGCTGAATTTTATTGGTGTCCTGAAAACTAAGGGGGAATTAAATGCTTCATTTCATTGGCAATTTTCAAAACTTATTTCATCCTACCTGGAGTGGAAGAAGAAAACCATAAGTCCCCTCAAACACCACTCCAGAGGGAAGATATATTCTGGTTGGCCCCAAACCTTTCATTCCTTACAAAATCAAAACTTCTCATGCCAATTCTGAAGACTTAAACTTCCTATCACATAGCATAAAACATTTGTTTCTTCTGAAAGGCCAAGTCATTTCAAAATGGTAATACAGAAAACTTTCTATTCTGAAAAGAATGAATAGAGCAGAACACATTGTCCTTATCAGAATGCTTCTTACAGTTTTCTTTCTCTAAATTAGTTTTTCTGGAAGGTAACACACAGGTGAATGTTTGAGCCTTAGTATTTGATAAATTTGTTGGAGAGCTGTAGTCTGCTGGAGAATGGGTACAGGTCCACACAGCCACAGGCAATTCAGTTTTTTTCTCTGTAACTCAGTTGTGGCTGTAAGTTTGGGTTAATAGTATGTATGTGCCTGACTGGGGTGCTGAGATTCATTAGCTGAAGTCTATAAAACACTCTGAAGATAAGTGGTACATATTATCATACTGTAATTAGGTGGTAATTGAAAGATGCTGGATAAACATTATTAATCATTAATATTCATAGAAGTGGCACTTCTGTAAATGCTGCTGTAACACCTGTTAGAATCCTTTTGGGACAATCATTGGTGCTGTAAGCTGGGATGCCCACATGTTAGTATGCAGGCAGTGTATTCCCAGAGCACATGTAAAGTACTGTCAGCCTGCTTTTGGTCAGAGCTTGCTAGCTGGGAAGGCTGGTGACCTCCAGGGGGTTGCTGCTCTCTCTTCTGCAGCATCCTCCTAAGCACTGGGTTCAACTGGCAGCATGGGATGGACATGGCTGCAGAGGGATCTGCTTCGGACAAGTGACCACGAAACAAACTGTGTTTTGTTACTCCTTAGTAACCATAAGCTTCAGCATCACACAGGTCATGTGCAGAAAGCACAAGTCTTCTGAAATTTTAAATCTAGTCTATATTATTAGTTCATTAAATGCTTACTATGTCTGGGGCACTGCAAAAGACAGAGAAAGCCGTTCAAAGCCAAAGGACCAACTCTTGTCCAACTCTACCAGTGCCTTTCCTGACAGACTATTAGTCTAATGTTCTTCTTCAATGCCTCCATTGATGAGAATTTCCACCTCCCAAAGTATTTCTCTGGATCTATTTCTAGAAAATTTTTTCATACTGTCAGTCCTAAATAATCCTCCTTGAATTTAAGCTTACTCATCACAGACCCCAACACATATTTTCTTTCTTGCAGCAGTGACCTTCTACGTATTTAAGGACTTGTACCATGCACAGAAGTTGTTGATTTGAATGTTGTCTTCGAGAAATCATAAATTGTTATTTGAGTGTTAGGTCAACATAAATCTGTTTAATTTCAGGTTAATTTCAATTTTAAAATTTCACATTTTGCTTGAGGATTAGGACTTCCTGACCTGCTTCACTTCTTTAAGCACCACCTTATCCCTGGTTGAGCCCCTGTGTGCATAATGGGAGTTTGAGATTAGTGCAGATGAGGGGCTAAGCACTCATGACAGAGGATGAGGACACGAAGCAACTGGACTACAATTCACAGGATACAGAACACAAACAGAGCTAAACAGAAACTTCTTCTGAACTGTTTGGAACTTTGCATTCTGGAATATCTAGAAAACATTCTGGCACTACTTTCAGAAACCTGGAATTTCCTACAATTCCTTCTGAACACCATCCAAGACACAGACTGTGACTGATTTGAGAAAAAATTCCCATGGAAGTGTAGGCTGATGATACAATTTTTTTTTTCATTTGCTGTATTGCAGTACAGTGTATTATAATCACCCCTGTTAAGCTGGTTCAGAAATGGGCACAGTTCCATGATATGCAAGACAGGATTTTTCAACTACTCTGATATTAACATTTAGATGATTTGATGCAATCATGACCTATCCCTTCCAATATCAGTCCAATTCTGCTGTCATTTTCCTTTCCCAAAGCATCTAGAATCTCTCAAGTCTAATGCAAACCATTGTACCTCACACCTTGCTACATCTTTTCCAGCAAACTGGTCCTTATTCTAGCACAACAGGATTTAATCACATAAACATCCTCATAAAGTAAGCAGACACTGCAGATTTTAGGAAAGAAAAGAAATCTTACATGTTCCTCTTCAAACTGGTCCCCACCAAATGCAGAGACACAGGGCTTGATACCTCCCGTTCCAAGGGCGATCAAAAACAGACCAATCATAGACAGGACCCTTCGTGCAAGAACAAAAATATCACCATTGCAAAACCTTTCCAGTGCTTATGAGAGCATTTTAGTGTCACCCAACCATGATTCCTCTGATAGTGTTGTCTTTTGCACATGAGTAGTGATGATGAGCCATCTAAGTGTGAAAAACAAATTAATTTTCTTAATTTCTGCATTCAGTACCAGTTAATTAACCAGACTGGTTTTAGTCAGTTTCTCCTTGTTCTGAGGCCCAATGGACATATAGGAGATCAAAGATCCGTGGGATTATTTTTCACTTATATGACAACAAACGATTTCAGAGATCAGTTGAGAAAAAGAAAAAAGAGAGGGAAAAGTGCTTTTTCCTGTAGCCTTCCAGGCTGGGTAAGTGCAGATAAACTTTGAATTAGGCTCATTCTTGGGTCCTTTCTGCTTCCCAGTGGTCTTCAAAATACCATTGTTAGCCTGACAGATTACGTCCATAGGGAACAAGAGTGTCAGGACAGGCCAGGTCTGGGACAAAAGAAAACTGTTCTGTAAATGACACGTGCTCCTTCCTGCATGTGCATTTTTTTAGAGCTGTGACCACAGGAAAAACCAGCTTGGTGGTTTCTGAGACACCAGCTGGGAAACTACTCTGACCAGTGGTTCAGAATCTAGAGGGCAAGAAAGGTTGTACCCTGTGGAAGAGACAGACCCTTCCCCTGCAATCAGAAAATGTATTTTCCATTTTGTGTTTCCATGCACACAGGGGAACCTTGCTGAGCTGGGTAGCTATGCTGATGAAATGAGGGAGGAATGAGCCTGATGCAGGCAGTTGGATGGAGGAGACCAACCTTCAGTAGCATGGTGTAGCAGAGACAGGTGATCACATGTGCTTATCTCAAAGGGTTTAGAGTCTCTGTGGTGATTTCCAACTCCATCTGGTGCATTCACACACTAGATCTACCCTTCTTCTCTTACTCAGGCATCCCTAAGGCTGATGAAATGAGGGAGGAATGAGCCTGATGCAGGCAGTTGGATGGAGGAGACCAACCTTCAGTAGCATGGTGTAGCAGAGACAGGTGATCACATGTGCTTATCTCAAAGGGTTTAGAGTCTCTGTGGTGATTTCCAACTCCATCTGGTGCATTCACACACTAGATCTACCCTTCTTCTCTTACTCAGGCATCCCTAAGCCCAGTCCAGTGAAAGTAATCTATGCACAACCCCCACACTGCTGGCCTGATGGAGGTGAAATAAATTCTGGCTAAACCAACCACCATCTCAATCTGGTGCATTCACACACTAGATCTACCCTTCTTCTCTTACTCAAACATCCCTAACCCTTCCCCAGTGAAAGTAATCTATGCACAACCCCCACACTGCTGGCCTGATGGAGGTGAAATAAATTCTGGCTAAACCAACCACCATCTCAATCTGCTACAGCACTGTGGCTTCAACGGCTACTTACACATGAACTGCCTGGTTGCCCATGGATGGAATGGCACCGACTGACTTTATCAGATGGCCAACAACATACACAATGGAGAGGTAGATGATTGTCCTGTGAGGAAAGCAAACAGCAATGACTGAAGGTGTCAGGCAATGTACAGTCTGAAAGCAGTGTGCCCATCCTTCCTGATGTGGCAGATCTACTTGGCAGATACACAAGGGACTGGTTTGTTCTACCACTGGTACAATGGGCAGCTAGAATTCTTTTGTGTCAACACCAGGTGCACTAGAAGAAACTGATAGGCAAAAGAGTTCAGATAAAGGTGGGATAGCCTTTGCTTTATTTGCAAATGTTACTGAGCAGAATAATTTAAAAGTGTTCCAGCCTTCTCATGCATGGAAATCTGCAAAGAAACTGTTCAGGTCCAACTCAGCTTCATATTACTAATAGCTGGCATTTTGCAGCATGTGCCTAAGTGAATCCCTTGACTGGAAGGCACCTATAGGGACTGTTGCCCACATTCAACCCACCTAACCAACACATTTGAATTAGGAATGTGGTTTCCCCATTATAAGTCTGGTTTTGATCTCAAGTACCTCTGAGGGACTGAGCTTGTCTACCTGTGTCCCATGTGTTAGTGAGGGAGAAGAAGAAATCTGAGCAGGACAATCAGGCTCTTGAACGTATTCTATTTCTTCATCACATCAGGATTTAGAGACGTCAATGTATTTATGTGCAAACAAAACATACAGAGGGAATTAAAGGACTTGTTAGAACAGAGACACTAGAAGTGTCTTGAGCACACCTGACTTGTTAGAACAGAGACACTAGAAGTCCTATGACCCTTGAGCACACCCTGATGCATTCAAACCCTAGTTGCAACAGTTCATTTTGAGCCACATCATATCATTCCTAAAAGCCCCTCTAATCTGTTATCCTGTCCTTGGTATTGCCTGAGGTTCAGCTACTACAGCAAAAGCCACCTCCCATTAAGTCACTGGGATTACTCCAGGGAAAGTCTCTTGCCTAACACACAAGAGTCTGTATAAGATAGACATCTTCAAATACCAATGAGCAAATAATGAAGTCAATAAACCCCTACTATTATTTTTTCAGTCAAAGGGACAAGAGAATTACTAAAATTGAGCATGGAGAAAAAAAAAGAACATTGATATTTCCTTGAGATCTTTCTGCTGGAAAGGCATATGGCAGCTTTTTATTTCCTGTTGAGACTCTTCTGCCAGATGCGCTTAGTCCTAGAGACAAGGGTTAAGCAGCACTTCATCACCATGACAGCCAAGACTCCTCAGAAAGCGAACAAACAGTGCCAAGCAACAGAAGTCCTATATCCAGCTGCTCACCACCACTCTGGGGCAGATGATGGCTCCACAACTTATCACCAGAAAGGAAGACTGCTTAAGGACTCTTACTCAGGAAGAGTTTACCTGGTTATGTGCCAGTGGAGATGATTTGAGTGAACCCAGGTTTCTCAGGCATAAAAATGTGAAAAGCATAAGTAAGTACACAATAGTTAGTGACATTTCATCTGAAACTGCTTCCTCACTATCTTCGAATCCTTCTCAGAAGCAGACCTTGGCAAACTGAGGGTTAATAACCTAAGGACTCTTACTCAGGAAGAGTTTACCTGGTTATGTGCCAGTGGAGATGATTTGAGTGAACCCAGGTTTCTCAGGCATAAAAATGTGAAAAGCATAAGTAAGTACACAATAGTTAGTGACATTTCATCTGAAACTGCTTCCTCACTATCTTCGAATCCTTCTCAGAAGCAGACCTTGGCAAACTGAGGGTTAATAACCCTACACCTTGATGAAGTAGGGTATAGTGGAGGAAAAGTGTTCTTGTGACATTTAATGTGTTTAAACTTTGTTGCCTATTGGCCCCTGGATGTAAAAGGAGCACAGAGCAGCATGAGCAAACAGATCAGCTGCTCATCTGTTAACAAAGAGGAGCTGACCTTCACAAGTGTGCTGCACTCTGAGCTAGCTCAAAACTGGGAGCACACACAGCACTGCCCTTGCACAGGCTGCATGGTGTCGATGCATGCTGACTGAATTAGAGACATGTCTTCACTTACTTGTATTTCCCCAGCCATGAGTCTGCCATGATGGCTCCAATGACAGGTGTGAAATAACACAGAGCAGAAAAGGCATGGTACACAGCAGTGGAGAGGTTCTCATCCCAGTGGAAGTAACTTAAGAAATAGAGTGTCAGGACAGCTAAAAAGAAAACAAGCAGATCACATCATATAGTTAATGTGTATCTCTGCAGGTAAGCAGGGTCATGGTGGCAGGAAAGCCACCGATTCATCTAGCAACTCTGAGCACTGCTGTGGAAAGATTTGTGCTTTCAAACCTGTTCCTCATAATCTCTGACACGGGAAAAACTAAAATGAGATATATGAGTATCAGGCATTCTTTGCTCATAAACATTTATGTTTAGCTGAAAAGTATATTTTCTACTTTATCTTACCATAACCTGTAGTTCTGTTTATGCACATTTTCTATTTGCAGATTAGGTGCCTCTAAGATTCAATTCCCAAATGCACTGATTGCACACAACTGTGAAAGACATGACACACTAGAAAACCAGGTCTGATCCAGAGAATTACATAAAAATTTAGACTTGAAGCTATGTCTGGAGCACTCTAGTCCTGGCTTCTGCTCAGAGCAGGTATAGCAACAATGTCAGGGTACACTGCTCATACCTGCATCCCAAAATGGCAATTTACATTGAAAGGCAGCTGAGACCACATACATCACATCCTTGAAACACCAGGACAGTGTATATAGAAACGCTAGGATGGGAAAGTCACTTCCCAGACACAAGCCACATACCTCGCATGCCATAGTAGGAGAAGCGCTCACAGAACTCATTCACAACAATGAAGGCAATGCTCAAGGGGTAGTTGGAGCCACAGAGTTTCTGTGGGAGACAAACAAGAACACATTAGTTCTGTGAAATCCTTCACCCTGGCAACATATGCCCACAGTGCTTGGGCAGTGGAGAGGAGTCCAGACCAAAAACCAGGTGCCCACTGCTGCTTGACTTGAGTTGGACTCAGAGGAGAGAGGGGACCCCACACCTCTCTTGCTTTAATTAAGGCTCACCAGTGAATCAGCCTGGCTGACATGGGCCCAGTAAGGACTGGCATGGGGACTTGTGGGCTGTTAGCAGCCCAGCATGCTTGTAGCTCCAGGAACTCCACTGAAAGGTCCTGCCCCCTCTCCACTGCAGTGCAAAAAGCCACTGAGATGAAAAAAACACATTTGGATGCCTTTTCTTCTACACTTCACATAAAGCTACTACTCTGCCCCAAAACTGCTCCCTCTCCTAGGACCAGACCTTGCTTCAGCAGTTGGGAGACCCCAGGGGTCTGCTCCCTGCTTCTGTGTGAAGCTGCTTCCTCCCATGTGACAACTCAATTTGCACTTCACTTGCACCTAACTGTGCCACTGCGTTCACTGAAGAAGAGCATCAGCACCATGTCCATATTCGAAAACTGCTGGCATAGCTATGGGTAATTCAATTTATTAATCCAAACTAAGCAAAACAGCCATGAGACTGTCAAACCTGCCTGAGCATGGCCACTCCTCCACTGAGTCTGAATTTATTCCTGCTAAAATCAGCAGTTCCCAAGAGAAATACAAGGAATTAAACAGATGAGTCTTGGCATGACCTTGTGTGGGCCTCCATCCCTCTTGCTACCCCACAGCGGTCGAGCTAAGCCGCTTTCAGCTTCCAGCTGCTTAGTAGCTCCAGTGCCTCACAACAGGAAAGCAGGTTTTCCCAGCACTGCCCAGCCTCTGCCAATTAGTGGCAGAGAGGGGCTGGTCATACCTTTGATGAGGCATGAGGGCAGTGTGAGATTAACAGCTGCACCAATATTTATGCTTTTAAATAGCCATGGCATGGGCCAGTGAAGTATGTGAACTCTTCACATGCATTTCTGTGCCTTGTGTCAGAACTACTGAATTCCTGTATTTCTTCTCAGAGTACCAAATGCAAATAGGGGTACCAAAATAGATGTGTTTATTCAGGTTTATTCCACTACCAACAGACCTAAGCTTATTTGGATTCCCAAAGCAATAGCATCAAGTTTAGAAGAGTCTAGCTTAATGATGCTGGCTTGCTTAGCATTATGAAAGAGCAATGAAAGAAGAGAGACTGATTGTCAAAAAAAAACCTCCAAACCAACCCACAACCCCCCAACACACTTTCTATTACTTAACCCAGCATCAATAAAGACAAATATTTTTGTCCCTTTTTATGTATATATTTTTTTCCCACTATTTATGGGCTGCCTTTTTAATAAGAAACCCTTGGCCATTTTGCTTTACTAGAGTAAATACATTTATTATTTACTCTGAAACCATCATGCTCAATACACGGTTTGTAAGACAGAGCCTCACACTGGGACCTCCTGCTTTTAGACTAGCCAAAAGGTGGTGGCATATAACAGCAGTAAATGCACAAACACACAAACACACACACACACAGAATACCTCTATCCAGCAAGTTTTTCATAATAAAAGAATAAAAGCCATAAGAGGCAAGTTATGTTTCCTGTGGGTGCTGGGAGGCATTTTCTGTACTTGTAAGTAAAACTGTACAACAGGGATTTTTCTTCTCCTCTCTTTCACAGTGTCAGTGCTCATGAGATTTAATAACATCAGATGGAGATGCAGGGCATGACTGCTCAAACCCATGTGGCCAGGTGTCAGGAGCTCTCCTGCCTGAATTCACCCCCTGCACCCAATACACAAACTCCCATGGATTTAGCTGCAGCGGTTTAAGGTGCGGTGACTCATTTCAGCCACTCCTGCCCTAGCATGGGCACCTCCTACAGATAAGCAGGGGCAATGAGGGAAAGGAGAGCAGGAGGCGGTGACTTCCCAGCTAAACCTCCCCAAGCGCCTGAGCCAACGACCCTGAGTAAGTGCTTACAGACACAGAGCAACGACTTACAAGCAGGAGTACTTCCATCTAGTTTGTGTGTCATGAGATGGCATCAGCACACGCAGAAACCCTCATGTATTCTCTCTGCTGTATCACTGACCTGCCTGTGGCCTGCCTGGACATCCAAAAGTGGGAAGCTTTCATCCATGTGGAGAGCCAGGTGCAGTTTGCTCGCTTTTGCGGAGGAGGACCTTGCTCAGCAGAGAGCCCCAGCAAAAGCAAAGAGGTTAAGCCTGGATTCATGAACACACAGATAGTCTGTGGTGCTTAGCTACCGCAGCAAGCCTGGGATCTGTGGGATTATGGACCTCTTTATTATGTGGAAGTTGATAGTCTGTGTCTTTGGAAAAAAATAAAAGTTTGTTTAAAGTTCCCACTACAGGAGACGTTTGATTTCACCTCTCCTTCTTGCTGACTAGGTGCAAAATGGGATAAAGATAAATATTTCCCAGGAGCCCTGGATATCCAGTAGCTAATGTCTGCACAGTACTTAAAATTGTGAGTTAAATAGTTAGCTTGCTAATGACATGACTGTGAGTTTTAAGACCAAGCATTACATATTATCCTGCAAGTCAAAGCAGCTGCAATACAAGCCAAGTTCTCCTTGAAGCCAATACAGTGTACAGTTTTTAGGGGTCAAGCACTCAACCAGAATTAGCCTGAAAACCTGCACAAACATCAAAGCTGCAAGGCAGCAACACATTCACGTGAATCAGGCTTTAAATCAGAGCCAGAGATGTAAACCCAAGGCTATGGCACTACAGTTGGGCTCTGGTAACACTCATCAGTGGCCTGTCCTCAGTCCCTGTCCTTCCTTCCTGCTTTGCAGCATCTGGGAACATTTTCTCTGGTGGGTTTCATAAAACCAAGCAAATGCAGAGGGCAACTCCCTCCATCCCAAGCACAATATCCCCTCCACTTCAGAGGAGTAAGTACTTTCCCACAAGGAAAGTAGTGTTCAGGAAAAAGGCAGCAATCAGAAGCCTTACCCTTTTCCTCAAACATTCAGACACTTCGTGTTTTCCTTTTAAGCTGCACTTTCTTAACTTAATCAGGTTAGTGGAGGGATTTTTGCCTTGAGTTGTTAATGCTTATTTCAACCCTCTGTAAGAAAGGGTGTTTGTCTCTAGCCAGAGCACAACAGAGGAGAGAACAGAGAGATCTTGCAATGTTTAGAGCAAGCTGAGCAGAAAGCAAAGCAAAGGAAAGCAGCAGTAACACTCACCGGGGATTTTTTCTGAAGAGGAAAATCTCCTTTGGGGGGATCATCTCCTGCAGAAATAAAAGTGAACAAAGTTTCCTTGGATTCATTTCTCTGAAAAGCGTTCATCTCCCCTCTCGCCTTGTCTCCCACCATGCTATGTGGCTGTGGTGAGTTGACTGGGAAGATTTCCAACCTCAGGCACGAAGTTTGATTCAGTTTGAGTTAACCCTAATTGAGCACATTTGTGCAGCCAGGGCAGAAAGGGGAGGGAGATGCTACAAGGAAAGACTGCTTCAGAGTTCAAGAGGAGTCAGGGAATACAGCCTAAATCATTCACAGGTTGGGGCTGTCAGCACTTTGTGGCACGGACCTCCCTGTTGTTTGGCATGCCCCCAGCTACCGTACGTGCACCAGCCCAGCACAGTGCTGTATGCTGTGCAGATGTGAGCTGAATAAAAATCCCAGGTCCCAGATACACCTACAGCCTGTGGATTTAGGAGCAGAGCATGCATCTCCCTCCTGATGTGGTAATGGCAGGTTTACTCTGCAGGGATCTCCTCCCACTGAAAAGCCACACTCTCGAAGACATAACTACTAAAATGCTCATCACGCCAAACCCTCGAACGCTGGATGTCACGGATGTCTGCACTGTGTTAAATCATTTCTTTGCAATCCCAGGAGTGAAGTGACCCAGGGTTTATTCCCACACCTATTCCCTGGAATGACCTTGCCTTTTCCCACGGGACAGTCTAATCTGGGGGACACAGCCATCACTGAGGAGTAGCCTCAAGCCCTGTCTCTACTTTGTGTTATACAAAGGCCACCTCTGGGCTCACTATGTGGCAAACACGTCCTAAGCTGTACTGGGACTCCCTGGATTTCCTCTGCAGATACATGGGTGCAGCTCCCTGCAGGTACCCTGTTGTCTCTCCTTCCATGCCCTTCCCACAGGAATAGAGGATTTCTTCATCAGTATTCTTCCACTGCCAGTTGTAATTACAGAGCAAAATTCACAACCTTCCCATAAACTATCCTCAGTGGTTGTGGCTGCAGTATCCTTGGCACAGTGTAGGGGTTTTCTTCTTCCCCTTACATTTAGCTTCTTTAAAAGGCAAATGTTCAAAGAATTTTCCCAAGTATTTCTCCCTTCTCTTCTGAGCAAAGCACAGACCACACCCAGAATCCACAGCTGGTACATGGAGTACCATAAACTCCATGAACTCATCCTTAGCTCCAGCACTGAGCTGCTAATAGCACTTGGGTACCCCAAGAACCAGGTTTGCAGCTGACAAACCAGGAAGGAGGCCTTTGCTCACACCACAGATACTTAATCTGGCTTCAATTATTGCTAAGATGACATGGAGAGCACTTAGACAAGGCAAGCAGATGTGACGGAGTGCACAGAGGAAGCAAAATTAATCTTCACGTTCCTTCATGTGCTCTGGCATTGCTTCCTCTGAAAATCCCTAGGGATCCTGTTTCAGTCCTGCTAACTGGGCAGCTAAACATGGGGTCAACTGGGCAGCTAACTTGAAGCCTGAACTTCAGGTGAGGCCAGGAAGTTCTACCCATTTCTTATTCCTTTTTTCTTCTACAGCAGTGACAAAGCAACAGTTTGGTACCTCCCCTATACTACCACAGACCAGGTCCTCATCTTCAGCCCTCCCAATGATCTGCACATTTTTCACCTGGGTCTGGCCTCCAGGGCACTTGGGTTTGTCCAGTCCATTTCATGGGCAAGAGAGACTCAAAAGCAGACCCAGTGCTGGGGGCAGTGCAAGGAACAGGACTTGTGCAAGTTGGACCTAACTCCTGCACACCAGGCTAGCACATACTCTT